AACGTGCCTGCATGGGAACGTACCCATAGGATCCTGCCTGTCCGCCGCGTGCACAAAGGACGAGCCACCTTTTACATGTAAACTCGTGCCAAGGGGGATCGTATTTGCGCGCACACCATCGAACAGGTTTCTCGATGTCCTCTTGCGCGTGATTGTCTTCGAAACGTTCTAAATTAGGAGAAGTATACGAGGTGATTTGTAAAAGAAAAAAAGGACAAGTTGAGAGTATATATATAATAGATATTGAAGATTTTAAAAATAATATCGTGAATATATATATATCGTTTTTGTAATATGGAAGTATAATTTTGTAAATTGATAGTTTTTTTTCTAATAGGAAGCTATTATATATATATATAATTAGAATTTCTATTAGATTCTATTAATTCGTGAAATATTACGCGAAGAATAAGTAATCATAAATATTTCGTTAAAAATAAATTAATGTAAAATATCGATTTAATAAACGATTTAATTTTTTGAAATTAAAATTGAGATTTTAATATTTCAATTTTTAAGGATTACGTAAAAATGTAAAGTATTGGTAGAGATTATTACATAATATTAATAATTTCTCGATTAAATTGCATTAACGCGTAATTGATTGCAAATATAAATTACAATTTAATCACAAATTAAAAAACATCAAGTTTTCAATATTTTTAAATGGTTGATATTAAAATTGTTAAATTCAAATTTTAATCGAATAATATCTATCATACTAATAATAAAATTTTCATGAGATATAAATTAAATTCATCGAACATTATTTGCAAATTAATAATCAATATCCAAACATGTGCAAATATTTATACGAAATCAATATTTTAAATAATATGTTACGCATAATAATTCAATAACTCTCAAAGTTATTGAATGACAAAAATATTTCTTCCTTCCTCAAGATTTCTCCCCAAATTTTTCATCCCTGAAATTCTCTATTGCAGAACAAACAATTCTGAAATAGTATTCACGTTTCACAAACGTGTGCACGACGTCGTAATAGCGTTACGTTAATTTAACGATCAACACCAACGATGGAGAAAAGTTTAATTAAGCTGGAATCCCAGCGTGCCTCGTGCCAGCCTTTAA